CATGATCAGAAAACCACACACACATACACACACACACACACACACAAATGAATAACACACTTGGGGTTTCTAACTCTATCCATTCCCATCAGCATGATTCTTCCCTTTGGTTTTGCTCACTCCTATGGTAGTGCTTCTGCCAGCAAGGCTGGAACACAGAGCATCTCTGAGCACCTCCTGGTCAACCCTTTGGGAACCCCTGCCTCCTCTCCTCCTGAGCCCCCACACCATAGATGCCTGAGCAACACTGCCACACAGCTGCTGACTACCAGATGGCTTTTCAATTCATAGAACCCAAATTGAAGCCAGGCACCCATATGTAGCTGATGCCTGTAATCCTACCTACTCAGGGGGCTGAGACCTGAGGATCGACGTTTGAAGCCAGCACAGACAGGAAAGTGTCCATGAGACTATCTCCAATTAACCATTCAAAAACATGGAAGTGAGCTGTGATTCAAAGTGGTAGAGTGCTGACCTTGAGCAAAAGAGTTTAGGGACAGCACCCAGGCCCTGAGTTCAAGCCTTATAACTGACAAAAAACAAAACCTAAATTAATGAGGCAGATGCAAGTTCCCCCCTAGCTCCCCAAGAGCATTGTTGGCAAGGTCACACTCCACCCCGACCCCAAGCACAGCTCCTGCCTGAGTCCCCTCTCAGTCCTCATTCCAATGGGATAGATGTCTAACCTCACTGGATTGCCTTTTTCTTCTTTTTTCTTTTGCCATTATCAGGACTTGAACTCAGAGCCTAGGTGCTATCCTATAGCTTTTTCACTCAAGGTGAGCTCCACTTCTGGTCTTTCCTGGTTAGAGAGTCTCAATAAGAGTCTCACAGATTCCCCTCCCCTCACCCCTTGCTGGATTTGAACAGAAATCTTCAGATCTCAGCCTCCTGAGTAGGATTACAGGCAGGAGTCACTGGTACCCAGCTGGGCTGCCAAGTTTATAGGAGCTATTGCTTTCATTGGCAAAGGGACTCCAAAAGGCTTGTTCTCACATTGTATCTTCTTAGAGCTGAATTTACAGAGTGATGAACAGGAACATAGACTTACCTCGTTCATCAGAATCCTTGCCACTGTTGCTCTGAACTCTGCTTGGTTCTATGTTGTGGCTGATGGGTTTGAAAGGCCAGGGCAGCTCCCTGGGCTGTAGTTCTATAGGACTCTTGGGAACCTCAAATGCTGAGCCATTCGGGGTGGCTTTTCATTCCTAACAAAAACCAATGGAACATTTGCTCTAGGTGACAACCCTTCAGGCTTATAGACTAGAATCCCTACATGAAGGGAGGGGCGGGGGGTGTGTGTGCACACACTTGAGAAATCTACCTTGTCTCCACCTCTTTTCCCCTGGCCCCTGAGGATTTTCTAAGAAATCGCTGAAAATTTTGGCTGTGCCTTTTCAGGCTGCTTTGCAGCACCCCTGGATAGCCACTAGATGGCAGTGTGGCGCTGTGGAAGAGGTCTAACTTGCTTGTGGGGACACCAGAGGTCACCTTCTCTTAGGTTTTTGTTGTTTTGTTCTTTTGGTCATGGGGCTTGAACACTGTCCCTGAGCTCTTTCTTTGCTCAAGGCTAGTGCTCTACCACTTTGAGCCACAGCTTCACTTTCAGTTTTCTGGTGGTTAATTGGAAAGTTAGGAGCCTCACAGTCTTTCCTGCCAGGGCTAGCTTTGAACCACAATCTTCAGATCTCAGCTTCCTGAGTAGCTAAGATTATAAGACACCAGTACCTTTCTCTTGACTGCTTTATGAGGCCAGGGAGAGGCTGGGCTATCATTTCCTTGTAAGGTAGGAAGAGAAGCTCCACCAGCACACAGTGAATGCATGAAGTGTGCCTCCTTGCATTTTTGTCAACCTGCGGGACACAGTTCTCTTCTTTTGTCCATCTGTCTAAACACTTGGGCGTCTGCTTCCAAAACCCACCATCAGCTGAACCTTGGTTAAACTTTTATCTGACCTATGAGTCTAGGAATTAAGTCCCACTAAGGCTGTATTTGCCTCCTGTGCTTTCTTTCTCCAGGAAGCTAGTGAGATCTCAGCACTTAGGATAATTACGGTCATGCCCCCTGCCCCTGTCCCACGGGCACCCTAGCTCTCAGCCCCCCGCCCCCCAAATGCGTGTGGTAACCAACACAAACCTAAGGTGTTAAGAGAGTGAAAGGTGTTTCTTTCGTTGGTTTTTGCTGAGTCCCAAATACGTGGTGATTACCTGAGGGCTAGGGCTCCAAGTCCAGGCTTTTCCTCCAATTCAGAGGATGAAAACCACTAAGTTGGGAACCAGTAGCTCATGCTTGTACTTCTAGCTACTCAGGAGGCTGAGATCTGAGGATCATGGCTCAAGGCCAGCCTGGGCAGAAAAGACTATGAGACTCTTATCTCTGATTAATCACAGAAAAAGCCAGAAGTGGCACTGTAGTTCAAAGTGGTAGACCACTAACCTTGAGCAAAGAGGTGCTCAGGGACAGCACCCGGGCCTAGAGTTTGAGCCCTATGCCTGGCAAAAGAAAAGAAAAACAGAAAACCAACAAGAGCTGAAGGAATTCTGGAAATGGCACAGTACACATGGAATCCACAGATAGAATTTATTAGAATTTGCAGAAGCAGAAGGTACCACAAAATAGTTTGATTTTACAATACAAAGTCTGGCGGGAAGTTGTCGATGTACACGGCGTGGTCAGCACAAAGGGGAAACAGCAGTTTCACATTTTTTAAAGTGATAGACAACACCTGCACTTGCCCTTAAAATAATAAAAAATAAAATACAATTAAAAAAAAACACCAGGAGGATTCCAGCAAGGACCAACCTGATTTGCACTTAGCATTAGAGTCTAAAACTATTATCGCCATTGTAAGAAACCATTATAAGAAAAACGATTAGAAAAATAGATCAAGCAAGCAGAAAAAAATACCAATTTACATAATAAGAACAACTCTTTTTTAATAATGGCTCTGTGTTCAGTAGAAGAAAACAATTGACTGGAAACACCCAGCTATTTGGGTTTGATAATAAACCAACCCTCATTAGTATCATAACCGTTTATGACCCTTAAGCCCATTGAAACTGAAAGGCACAAAAGAAGCAGGAAACTTGTTTTAAATATATGTGTAACTTCTCACAGGGGAAAAGAAGTCCCAAACTTAAAGAAGTTTGTCATCAAGGAACATGAAATCATATATCTTGCTTATTAATACATGAATGAACAAAGTCAGAATGCTTCTCCTCTGCCCCACTTCTCGACCCTGCTGGACACACAAATACCCCTGAGAACTTCTGCGTGGACCAGGTTCTTGGTCTCACATGGGCTTTTTAGACAATGAGTCGGCCAATCTAAGAGGGCATGTTGGTCCCCATGCCTAGACCTGTGGCCACATCAAGTCCCTCTGGGAAGAGAGCTTCGTGGCTCAGTGAAGCAGTGGGCACAAAATAGCTCTGGTTTACAGTGAAAATAAAAAGCCAGTTGACATTTTTTGCCTTAAAAAAAAAACCAACAACCACCCATTGGGTATCAAAGACATGACATACAGGGTAAAACAGCATTTGGGGCCAAATGGGTAAAGCGTCTCTTGACACCCCTCATTCCCCTTTGCCCCCCAAAAGTATTTCACTCCCTTGGGAGCCTTACATAGAATACTCTTATTATACAAAACAATAAAATAACACCTATTCAGTTCTATCTGAACTTGATCTCTGTAACAGTTCCACACTTGCCAGAAGCCCACTAGTGGAAAGACTTGGACCTATTTTTCCACTCATTCAGTTTCCCTCACCCCTCAGTGGGCACCTGAGCACTTACGTCCCTCCTTCCCTGTCTTTGTGGCATGGACACAGGTGCCCAAAGAACTGTGGGCTCTTTAATTATAGAGAGGAGTGTGTCTCTGGGGACATAAAATACTCCAAGCAGACAGGCCGAGCAAGTGGAATGTCTCTAAGCAGAGGCCTTTGGAGGGAGTGCTCAGACTTGCCTGCAAGTCCGAGGGTGGCCTCTGGGGGCATGAGAACACAGCCTTCCACATAAGCCAACGCTAGGCCAGATGGCCAACACCCGCAGATCCAGAATGCTACTGGGTGGAGTGGAAGTGGTGGGAGGTCACATCCAAGGTGCGGAGGTTAGCAGTGAAGAACCTCAGCCACTAGAGGGAGCAGGCATACCCACGGCCCTGTGGTCACTACACTACAGGCAGTTGGGTGGCATGTGGTATCCAAATCACCTAAGTACATGGGATCAGATGGCCCTGGGACTTCAGGAGTTTGCCTTCTCTCTTGAAATAATTGTTTCCCAAAGGGTCCACTGGGTATGGGCTGCACAAAGACCCCCACATCCTTCCAGTAGCTTCCCCCCCAGCCCTGGAGACACCTCATGGCATTGCATTCTTCATGGATTTTGGCAGGAGTGAAGGATCACTAGAAATGGCCTGTCTGATGTGACTTATTTGGGGCTGACATAAGGTACAAAGGATGGACAGGGTATTCTTACAAGATGTTATGTTCAAGTTCTCACGATGTAGGAAAACACTAGCCCAGCCATGAAATGAAAAGGGCTCAGATATGTGGAACTATTGATCATTTGATTTTTTTTTTGCTTATATGTTTTTATGTCAGGAGCAGTCATGTGATGAGAAAAGGCAGTCATTACTCCAAATAGGTAATGACCTACATCACTGCTCCTTTACACAGAAGAAAATCTCCATAGTCCGCTCTTAATAAAAGCACAAAACCCAATGAAACTGGCCACACAAGTGACCCTTGGGTATCCTTTCCTGATTAGGAAATTCATCCAAGGTGCACACCCTCCTCCTTTGCCCTCCCCCCCCCCCCCCCCCCCCCCCCCGCAAGCAGGCTGCCTAGGCCTGATTTCAGTTGTCAACGATCCTTGATGTGCAGGGTCGAGTTCCAACCCACCTGTCCTCTCGCAGACTGATGCAGACTGATTAGGAAATTCATCCAAGGTGCACACCCTCCTCCTTTGCCCTCCCCCCCCCCCCCCCCACCCCCCCCGCAAGCAGGCTGCCTAGGCCTGATTTCAGTTGTCAACGATCCTTGATGTGCAGGGTCGAGTTCCAACCCACCTGTCCTCTCGCAGACTGATGCAGACTGTGAGCTGAAATATCAACTGTAAACAGATGGTTCCGTGTCATCTTGAATAGGATAATTTCAGCCAGAAAAAAAAGGGAGAGAAAGTTAAAAAAAAATCCCCCACCTCAATCCCCCTCAAGTTCTCTTCTCCTAAGTTAAAATTAGTGAAAAGAAATCTAGCAAACGGAGAATAGGTTCCAAGAAGACAACAGACAACCAAAACCCCAAACAAAATAAGTTAGTATTCATCAAAATAGTTTACAGCACCAATCTACATACATTTAAATACCTTTCTTTGGAAACCCACGTTTTTTGTTTGTTTTTTTTTGGGGGGGATCAGATGCTACTCCCTCTGGAATATCCTCTGGGATCTTTAGAATAAAGAGCACCCAGAGGTGCTTAGGGTCTGGCATGACTGCCTTGTCCTTGGCCACTGGTTAACCTAAACCAGCCTTTCATATGGTTCATTTTTTTTTCTTTTTTGGTGGTGCTGGGTTTGAAACCCATGCTAGGCAAATGCTCTACAACTGAGTCACACCCTAGCTCCCAAGTTCACTAATTCTTACATTGCTGTTCAAGGTGCTCCTGGAGCTTGGGGAGGCTGGGGGGAGAGCAGACAAATTGTCATCAGTTTATCAGGCTTTGATCTAGTTGGGGAAGAAATGGGGGAGTAGGTTTCAAAAGCATCATTTGCGTACTAGAGCTGTCTAAACAACTAACTGCCTACACACTCATCTTGGAACCTGCTGGCCAAACTGACATTTTAAATGTTAGTGAGGTCCATCGGCACTCTTGTCCTGTCTTGGTGCTGGCCATAGGCCCATCCCCAAAATGCAGTCCTACACTCTCCCTGGTGGTCCAGGAAGAGTGTAGGACACAGGAAGTCCTAGAGGGACACCCTGGGCTCTAGGACTAATGGAGGAATGAGGCCCAGGCCATGGTTAGCATCTTGCCTTGGCTGATTTAAGACTAAGCGACAGCAAGAGGACTACAGGACATCTCTTGTGCAGACCACACACCCTGAATCACAAGCTCGTGGTATGAGGTCAGAAATTATTTGGCCATTTTCCAAGCTGATAATAAGTCCCAAAGTTAATCTGGTGGAGTGATTCATAGCAGCTAACAGGAGGGTTCAATTTCATTTCAAAGGAGACACTGTCCACTTAGCATCATCGTAGCCCCAGACTGTGCTTGCACCTGTCTTGGGAACCTTGTAAGACCCAAGAGACTGACGCACGAGAATCAGGGGTAAGACAGTGAATGGTAAAGGCTCACAGAAACAGAGTTCTGAACTCTGCCAGCGTGAGGTTGTCTAACACAAATAAGTCTCATGTTCCAGTTACTCAGGACACACAGAGCCCAAAGGGACACAGGGCAGAAGCAGCAGGAACGGTTTGAGGCCTGGAGACTGTCCCTTGGTTTATGTGCACACAAATGCCAGCAGAGCCAGCCCTGCCCCAACTTCATGCTGCACTCCCACGAGGGGCCTGGGATGAAACACTGGCCCTTGATCCTGCTTTGCACGGGCCAGTGCCCATTTCAAGGCATGTGAGAGCAAAGTCACACTCAGAGGGGGTGTGGGAGAGAGGCTTAGTCCTGATAATCCCATTAGAAAGCAGCTCAGAGAGCAGGAGTGGCAAAACGGCCTGTCCCTCTTCTTCAGGTGAACTGTGGTGCCATGGCTCTGGGGTGGACCAGGCTAGGATATGCTGCTTGTTGGTATTCATCTTGAATCTGTGGACTGTCACCACTGGGGGAGGAGCTGTGTGAGGGTCTGGAGTGTGCAGATTTGCAACAGGAAGGCAGCAAGGAGGGAGTCTTGTTTCTCAGGGAGAAAGGAATGGTCTCCATCTGCCTGGGGCTGCAGCAACAAGGCACCCAGCTGGCCAAGGTGGGCTGCATTGTGTTCAGAGGGAATGAGGAGACAGAGGCCAGGCATAGCCAAGTTGGCCAGGAAGCTGTCCAGAGGCGACCTGAGCCTCATGAGCTGGCTGCGGGGCCAAGTCTGGCCAGGCCACGTAAGCTATGGTGGAGGCTGCAGTTCAATTAATTGCACCTTTGGCAACATTTGGGGATACGAGTAGTTCCTGCCACGTAAGTAGAGTGTGAGATGCTTCCTAGTCCTCTGCAGCCAATCCTGCAGCTCCTGTGACCTCTCGTGGGCAGGCAGGGCTATACATCACTTGCACTCGTTCAAGTTGTTGTCAGGAGTCTTTGCTTGATCAGCAGCCAGGGTTGCTTCCTCGCTGTGCCAAAACCCATAGCCAAAGTAGATGGTGAAGCCTGTAATCAAAAGCAGAGCAGAGGTATGAACAGCAGGTATGGCTGTCCTGCGCAGGCTGATGGGAGGACCATAAGTTTGTCATATTAGAAAGAGGGGAGCTGCCAGTGTTCTAAGGAGAAGACACAGTAGTCAGTCAGCAGAGGAAACCGGTGTGGGGCTCAATGGCAGGCACTGGTAGACTTTCCCATCGGGAGTAACGGGGACCTTTGTAGCTGGACTCAAGCTCCTATCTGGGGAGATGACTAATGTGAGCAATGACCTATTCAGCGAAAAGTGGGGGGACAGACTCACAGCCTATCAGGGAATCTGTACCACTGCAACCACCATAACGTGTGTTTCTTCTTTGTGTCATACAATCTGTTGTGAAGAAGGCGCTAAGACTTTGAACAATAAGTAAGTAGCCTTCATAGGTTTAGAGAGCAAGAAGCTAATTGTGGTGGCAACTCTCCTGCCAGGTGCCAGTGTCAGAAGTAGAGATGAGGCTCACATGGCAGAGAACCAGCCCTGAGTGAGAAAGCTAACAGACAGTGGCCTAGACTTTGAGTTTAAGCCCTATTGCCAGCACGTGCGCGCACGTACACACACACACACACACACACACACACACACACCAACATACCTATGAGCATCCACACTGCAAATTGGATCCATGTGCGTTGGTCCAGCTGCATCATGAGATAGACATTTATGAAGATGCTGAGAATGGGGAGCACAGGCAGGAAGGGCACCTGCAGAGATATAGGTGACATCAGGTCTGACAAGAAGTGACAAAGTCAACACACATCCCCATCCTCATCCTCACTCAAGCTCTAGGGTCAATCCTAACACATAGGACTTTTGCTTCAAGCTACTAATATTCATTTGAATTTTCCTCTTTTTTCTTCTCATGCCAAAGAAAGGGCTAGGAAGAGGCATTTATTACTACTTTATATTTAAGAATGGACCATTGCACTCATGGGTATAACCTGACCACGTGTCTTCCTCGTTTCCAAGCATAGATATGACACGAGAGGTGTCTAGACGGATACTGCCCACTAAATGAGGTGTATCCCCCCACCTGAGAGCCAGGGGGAAGGGCTCTCACTTGGCAGGGCCCTCTTCCAGGCCCCGCCCCGTTTCCCCCTCACTCACCCTCCATGCTGGCTGCCAGCACCTGATTCTGGCTGAGTCCACAGAGGGCAGGAGGAAGAGCATGCTGAGGACCCTCTAGAAGGGTCCACCAGGAGCTGTTGGGCAGAACGGCTCACCTTAAATGAGAGCTTGGTCTTGCTTTCAGGCTGCCTCCAGATGACACCGGTGACTATGATGCAGAGGAGGATGAATCCTGTGACCACTAAGATGGCCCACAGTTTGCCACTGGCCAGTGCCTCTCTCCCAAGTACAGTCACAATGCATAAGATGACAATAAGAATGGCTGACGGGGACACAGAGAGAGCGGAATGTAAACACAACCACTTCTCAAGTTCTCACCAAATCCTGTCCGGAGGGAGGCTATACTCTGCATCATATATAATAGGATAGACACCTGGGTAATGGTAGCTCATGTCTGTCATTCTAACTACGGGAGATTAAGCTCTGAAGATCACAGTCCAAAGCTAGCCCAAGCACTACAGTCTGTGAGACTTTTCTCTTCAATTAATCACCACAAAGCCAGAAGTGGAGCTATGGTTCACATGATAGAGCGCCAGCCATAAGTGAAAAAAGCTAAAGGACAGCACCCACGCTCCGAGTTCAAGCCCTAGTACCAGCACACAAAGAAAGAAAGGGAGAAAAAGAACAAGAAGAGAGAGAGAGCGGAAGAAAGGAAAGAAAATAAAAGAAAGAAAGAGAGAGAGAGAGCCAGCCGTATTTGTCTATGGCAACTTTCCCCCTGCTTCATCCCTTGATCAAAAGCCACACAATACCAACAAGCAAGACCCTCAATCCCTTACTGGGAAGAGGCAAACTCTTACCCATGAGACTGGCTGAAATGTTCACGACTAGTCCAGAGAATTTGGAAGGCTCCTTGTTTTTGGGGAAGAATATAGCTTTCAGAGAAAACCTTTCCACTTCTGGTAAAAAGCCTGTCTGGGAGTCACTGGTGCTCACCAGCTCATTCTGGTCTATCTGATCAAGTTCATCTGTAGTTTTGGCCATCTGGTATACTGGATTAGGCTGCTCTGGCTGATATCTGTAAAAAAAAAAAAAAAAGACATATAATGTGTGACCCATACAACCTATGTTCTTTAAGCATCAGTTTAAGTTCTCAGCAGGCTTTGGAACAATTTAAGTTCTCAGAAGGCTTTAGAGGTAGGCTGGGGCCTTGAATACTAGAAGGGGATGCTCAGAATAGTGCATTCCTTGTAATGCAGAGACAGAGGAGAAGAGATCTGCCTTCTTCTCTTCGCAGGCAACATCTTTACAGAAGAGACAAAGATGTCTCTGTATTGTGAGGAAGCCCAGTGAAATACCCCCAGAAGGTTGCTCTTGCCTGGTGAAATAGCTGTGGTACGAGGTACTACATCACTTCCCACAAAACCAGATGAATGACAGAATTCAAAATCACTACCACTAGGGTTCTGTTTGGTGTAGAGCAACAGGCCAATGGATTTGACAGATTGTTTGTGTGACCTAAAACTCCAGTGCCTTGAAGTACCTAACTATGGACTGGGATGAAGAACAGAGCCTGGAGCATGATTTCCAAGACCCAGGCTACCTGCAAGTGAAGCATTTATTTGAAATGAGGTCCCTTCTCTTGCCACCCAAAATGAACTCAGAACAGATCTTTTCTACTGGCTTTGGAAAACAGTGATTTTTGAGGTGCTATGTGTATAACCAATTTTAAGAGTGAGCATGAAAATAGACTTCATCATTTTTGTGCTGATTCACTTGTGCCACAGGACTCAATCACTTAAGCAAGCACTGGGCCGCTGGCAAGACAAAAGGGATCTGCAAATCAGCAGAAAACAACAAAGTTTCATGCAAATTAGGTGTTGAATACATAAAAAAATGGAGTAGGGAAGGGAAAGAGGGTGAATACTTTTGTAAAACACTGCAAAATACATGTGAAAACAGCATATAGAACCTAAGAGAGAGGAGGAAGGAAGGAAGGTAGGGAGGGAGGGAGGGAGGTAGGGAGGGAGGCAGGGAGGGAGGCAGGGAGGGAGGCAGGGAGGGAGGGGAGGTCAAAGCCTGACACTCTCATCAAATTTCCACGAGCAGCACTGTGTTCCCTAGCCGCTCCTGATTTGTCTTTTCTGAAATCAGTAGATACTGGTTTTCACTGGAGATGGACATGATGTCTCCCAAAATAATTCAACCTAATTTCTTTTTAATCAATGGCTATCACCTGGCGGAGGGTTTGTTGGGGTCTGCATGTGGGTTTTAAAAGAGATGGAGAGAGGCTGTCTCCCTGGAAAGCTACGTTTGTAAATAAGGACGTCAAGGCAGAGCATGCACATTGGTGCATGGTATATGTGCACATGGGTGTGCTCGTGTGTGTACACATGTTTGTGTGCCTGTATGTGTACTCTTGGGCATGCATACTCTGTGTGTGCCTGGATTGCTCATGTGTGTTGTTCTGTGAGCATGCATGCTTGTGTGTATGTGCTGGTGTGAGTGTCTATGCACTTCTGTATTCTACCATGTGCATGTGTGTGTTATTTTGCATGCACACAAATGTTTGTGAGTACCTGCACTCAGGGCTTTGTGTGTCCTCGTGCACACATGTGCTGCTATGTGCATATGTATGAAACTATATGCTGCCTGTTTTCTTGTGTGTCAGATGGGCACACTTGTGTGTATGGTGTGTGTGCATGTGTTGCGTTGTACTCTCAGATTTTATATAAAAAACTCATGTGAATTTTTAAAGACCATCTGTGTGCTTGCCCACATGTGTGTGTGCACCTGTGCGTGCTATGTGTTCTGCATGAGTGCGTTCATGCATTTGCGTGTGTCTGAACTGGTTGTTTGGCCCAGGGGAGCTTGAAGACCCTTCCACACAGGACTAATTGGACTTGGTTTTGCACTGGCCATGAGGTAGGTTTGGAAGCCCAGGTCCTGAAAGGCCAGGAAGGGTGGGAAGGAAGAGGGGTAGGGGAGGGGAAAAAGGAGAGGAGGGGGGAAGGGGAGGGGGGCTGTCCCTCTGCATGCACACTTTCACATGAAGGAGGGAGGCTAAGGAAAGGGAGTGGGCACTCTCCCTCGGAGGGTGTGAGAGAGCACCAAGCCCCTCGCCCACCCATAGTGAGGGAAATCCTCTCTGGCTTAGAGAGCCATATCTTTAAGGGTGAATGCCCAGGGCTAGATGGAGGAGCTGGAGAATGCGGATCAAAGAAACCCCCTGCTGCAGGCACACCCCCTTGGCTGAGGGGGAAGGGAGGGGGGGAGAGAGGGAGGGAAAGAGAGAAAGAGAAAGAGAGAGAGAGAGAGAGAGTCAGTCCCCTCTCCATTTCCCTCTGCACAGAATTCTCTGGATAGCCAGGGCCCAGGCCACCTGCAGCTGGCCAGCCAGGAGCTCTGAAGATATAGTGCTCTGAGGAGTTGGGCTGAGGGGCTGAGCTGCCAGCAGAGGCTGAGCTGGGCCCCCGGGCAGTGCTGGGGGGGGGGCGGGGAGGGCTGTGGACAGGGCTCTGCCCAAGGCTTTGAAGAGCAGCAGAGCAGCATGCTTAAGCCCTGTGAATGCCCTCCCCCACAGCCGAGAGTGGGCAGAGAGGGGGCGAGGAGGGCAGTCCTGCCAACCAGAGCTGAGTGCGCTGCTCCTGTGGCCAAAGCACCAACACCAAAGGCCTGGAGACTGGAGAGTGAATTTGCTGCACACTTACTTTTAAAGATAATTTATTTCTATTTGCAAAGCCTGCAGTTGATGCAAAAGCTCATGAAAGAGCCGTGCAGCAGCTCCTTTCCTGCAGGCCATCCCCAGTGGGTGTTCTACCCTCCTATCCTCCTCCTCCTCCTCCTGTCCTCCTCCTCCTGTCTTCCTTCTCCTCCTCCTCCTCATTTTGCTTCTTTTTTTTTTGTTTTTGTTTTTTGTTTTGTTAATCATAGGGCTTGAACTCTGGGCCTAGGCACTGTCCCTGAGCTCTTTAGCTCAAGGCCAGCACTCTATCACTTGAGCCATACCACCACGTCAGGTTTTCTGGTGGTTTATTGGAGATAAGAGTCTCATGGCCTTTTCTGCCCAGGCAGGCTTTGAACCATGATCCTCAGATCTCAGCCTCCTGAGTAGCTAGGATTACAGGCATGAGCCAATGGCATCCAGCTTTTGCTGCTGCTGCTGCTGTTACTGCTGTTGCTATTTCTTCTCCTTCTTCTCCTTCTCCTTCTCCTTCTTCTTCTTCTTCTTCTTCTTCTTCTTCTTCTTCTTCTTCTTCTTCTTCTTCTTCTTCTTCTTCTTCTTCTTCTTCTT